GGACGTTTGGTCACCCTAATATAGCGCCAAATCCCAACATATCTCAAGCCAATTTATGGACACAATTCAACCAGCTAATACAGTCATATTGGTTCAAAGTTTTCTGCCTAAGAAAAAACCATCTGATTGCATAGACTCACTGACTATCTGCCATCCCTCACACCAAGCATGCATGCAGCGCATGTGGAGAGGAAAACAGCAAGAAACCTCCAGTAGAACCAGGCTCAGTGTGAGCAGCCATCTGCTGAGGCCAGCTGGCTTTACACCTTTATACCTGTCTCAGAAAATGTTATTTAGAACATGCTTTTCTGTACCTGGACAGTATTACCACCTTAGAGACTATTGTGTCCTAGAAAGATACTGAACAAACAAGCAATCAATGTATTGCTATAAATCAAGACAAAGTTTTATTATTTTTTATTTCCGTTTTTTCCCGAAAGCCCTCTGTATCAGTAAAAAATCTTAGGCAGATTATTTATGTTTAACCTAATGTAAATTAAATTGAGAGACAATAGTTGAAATTTGATGGAGAACATTTCCTGATTCTATTTCTCAATGGCACATTAAATTAAAAATTGTTAAAAACACGGATGGAGAGCGCTTACATTCTTTTTCTAATTTCTTTTTGGGCTCTTATAGCGTCTCATCTTTATGAGCACTATCAGATACCCGCATCCTGTAGGACTCTAGAAATATGCAAGTTAGCTTTATTTTACAAATAAACAAAATCAACTGATCTCCCACACAATGTACTCTATATTCCTAAAAAGAAGGTTGACAAAATGTCTTTCAGCACGTTTCCTCATGCTACAATTGGAGAAATAAGCCATCAGGAAAACCAACCCATTAGTTCAAAGTTTAGAATAAAGACTGGTTGTGAGTGTTACATTCCATTTATTTGATATTAATTTTGTTTATTAAAATTCATTAAATACACTTAAAATGCATCTCTGCTTCTGTCTCCTTGAACCCTAGTCGGCCTCGGCAGATGGCCGCTCACACTGAGCCTGGTTCTGCTGGAGGTTTCTTTCTGTTAAAAGGGAATTTTTCCTCTCCACTGTCGCTACAAGCATGTTTAGTGTGAGGGATTGCTTTTGAGTCAATGAGTCGACGCAGTCAACTGGTTTTCCTTAGATAGCAAACTTTTAATCAATTTGATTGTATGATCTGGTTGAACTGTTGTGAATTGGCGCTATAGAAATAAACTGAATTTAATTGAATCTTTGTATTGACAAATAATCTTCATTTCATGCCCTTCGATCTTACAAGACAGTTTGCTTGATACATGATCGCTATGGAATAATATTTCAAACAAAGATCTTAGATTAAATAAAAATCAATCTCATAGATCTTTTCAGTAGATGACCTTTTATGCCATTAACAGACATTGGCTGATGGTAGAGGAGTATGGTATACTGTATCATTCAGATAAGTTTATATACTTGTAGATCTGAAGAGTCAACGACACAATGCAAGCAAATCCCACTACAAGCTCATCCTGAGGGAGCTAAACATACAAATTTAATGAGTAAGACTGATGTACATCAGAGAGAAAAATGAGATTCTCTGCTGTTAGGATGAAGAGAGCGCCATACATTAAATAATCCCTCATGTACCACTTATCTATGTTTATTTACCTGCCAACTGCATTGATTACCTGTTCTAATAAGCCTGTCTATTTTTTCATTTAGGCCAAAATTGAAATCACCTCCGATAATAAGGTATGTATCTAAATATTTCAATAGAGCTGTGAAGAAAGAGTAAAAGAATATGGGCTCATCAAAGTTTGGGGCCGTAATGCTAAAAATGTGGTTATAGATATCTTTATTATCATATATCTACCCTCTAGGTCCAGACGTGTGTCTAATACTGTGAAATGTATATTTTTTAAAGACAGCTACTCTTCTTGGTTTAGTGTTATAGCAGGCAGAGAACACATGAGAGGATTAAGGGGATTTAAGATTGTTTGCAATTGCAGCTGTTTTATGAGACTCTTCTAATTAGATAACAACTACCTGTAATCGTGAAAGCTGGTTAAAACTCTGTTCCCATCTCTATGCACATTCCTACATGCTGATGAGTTTATCCATATTGAAGTGAGAATGGATAATGTTAGGCATCTACCATAAAACTGTAACTGGAGTGTGTAACAAAAGTAATTTCCCTCTGGGATTATTAAAGTATTTCTGATTCTGATTCTGATAAGTGGGCTGGTGTAGATGGAAATAAATGCCAGGGCTGAAAATCTTTCCCAGTCTGACCCAGTGAAATCATACTTAAAGCCTGTGGTTGTCTAGATATTGTTTTAAAGGCAGAGTTACAGGAAGCAGAAAGAAAAGAGAGTCTAAGTGTTTTTGCATAGAATCTGGTGGACCAAGTCGGTTAGCATCTCCCTGTGAAGTTCTTAAAATTATAAAGAAAAATCCAAGATCCAATTTGAAAACACTGAAAAAAAATTCCTTAGTTTTTTTTTTTAACTGCATTAAAATCGTTATGCTGATTCTGTATTTCTGTTGTGTTTGGTGGGAACATGAATTTTCTATTTCAACCTGCAGAGACTCACACAGAGAAAGGTTGCTATTAGAAAATATTTCATTTATTTATACAGGTAACATTATCATATTCTTCAACATATTTTTATCCAAGGAAAACCCGCGAATTGTGACTCATTGACTCTCTGCAATCCCTCGC